CTTGTACCTACTACGTTACGCATGAGTAACCCTTCTTTGTGAACCACACGTGTCACGAGAGTTTCTCTGTCGAACGGGGCAAACCTTACACAATGATGGTAGGGCTTATGGGACCCTTGTTTTTGTCAAAGAGGAATTGCTAAATAGGAATAATTTTGGTTGCCCTCCCACTTCCTGGAATTCCAGGAAATGGTATCTGGGACTGAGCCATACAGATCTATGAACTGTTAATATAGGGTTAAGGTACAGTACTAGACTTGCACTAGGGAGACTCAGGTTCTTTACCATAGTTGGCTAACCCTGAGCCAATCATTCCCTCTCACTCAATCTACTTCACAAGACTGCAGAGATAAAATTAGGAAATATGTATGCCATCTTGAGCTCCCTGACAAAAGGTTATTAATGCAATAAATAGAATAGATGAGTATTCTCCAGAAGTGCTAACTGGAACTTCCTAATACTCACCCCAAAGACAAGAGAACCATCCCCACCACACTCTGCACATAAGGGCAAACAGCTGCCTGGCCTCTTTCCGTGGGAACGAGGATGTTCGGCAGTGCGCACATGGGGTCTGATCAGCCACACAATTGTTATTTTCTTATGTTCACACAGCTAGATAATAGAATAACTGTGGTAAATTAGAGTAGAAGGCCCTGCCATACATAGGACCAGGGAGGCTGGTGTGTGTATGGGATGTTAGAACAGAATTACTTGAATCTGACAATCAAATGAGGAAGTACATAATGTCTTGATTATATTATTCCCAATGTGCACTGCCTCCTTCTCTCTCTCTCTCTCCTAAGATTGAGCTGCAGTTACTCAACAATGAGAAATAATTACTAATTGCTTCATATAGTCCAGTACTAAACTTTGGCCCTGAGTAAGTCTGCTTATTTTCCTGAGGAACTGAACTAAATCTATCGTGCAGGGTTTTTGCTATGGCCACTGAGGTAGAAGACAAGGATTCCTTGTCCTCAAATTTCCACCTAAAAATTCAGCAGCAGAAGTAGCAGCAGCAGCAGCAGAAACATAAACAGGACTTACATTGTCTGACAGGGCAACATCACATCCAGGGGTAGCCAACAGCAGGCGGACAATCTCAGCATGGCCGTGTTCACAGGCACACATCAGTGCAGTGGAACCATCATTATCTTGCAAGTTGACATCTGCAGCACTTGCTAGCAAGGCACGCACCATCTCTAGACGCCCGTGGCTGACAGCTAACATCAATGCTGTTTGCCCAGCCTGCAGGAGTGGGGAGGGAACCCAAGGGTGTTAAGGGGCAGCTAAATGCAGGGTGGGGAAAAGCCTGCTACAATGCCTAGTCTTTAGAAAGCATGTGCATCAAGAACAATCTGAAATATTTAAGAAGCATGAACTCTATATTTATGATGATTTTTTATATCTATTGCAGCCAGTTAATAGCATTTTAAAAAATTTTGAACAATCCCCACACACCCATGTGAGAGTATGATTACTACTTCCTGGTAGTCATCCTCCTCCTCCTCCTCCTCCTCCTCATGGCTCCCCAGTCTTGCAAGAAACTATGGGGAATGTTGGTACCTGGCTGGCTTTGGCATTCACATTGCCCCTGTTCAGTAGCTGCACAATAGTCTCCATGTCACTTTCGGTCTGTGAGGCAGCCAGTGCTGTGAGCATGATGGCTGTATAGCCAGCTTTGTTCTGTTGGTCCACATGACACAAACCTAGAACAGCGAGACAGTATTAGAAACCTTATCCCTCTGGAAATAAATATTGGGGCATGGTGGGTTCTGTAGTCTCAACTGTGCTGCTAGGAAACAGTGGTAAGCATTTGTTTTATAATGTCTCTAAGGAAAGGAAGTTCCTTAGAAGTTAAAGGGAAGTTAAAGAAACTGAAAAATCTGCCAGACGGACTCCATCTTGGAACAGAAGGCCTTACTGGATAGAGTCCATTACTATCTGCCTTTCTCTGGTAAAAAATCTACAAAATCTCCATTTTGAACACAAACACGATAACTGCACTTTAAGAAAGATAAAGTAGGGTAGTACATTTTAAAAGTTCACACAGAGAAATATATACCAAACAACTGAGTAACATCAGAGAAGTATGCCAAGATTCCTTTAAATGTTAAAAGGAAAAAAGAAAATATTTCCCAGCATACTGCCCTCCTGACATAAATCCTACACCTTTCCCCCAGATTCCCCAAAGAGTTGACCTTCTTATGAGCATCTTCCAGATATTTAGCCAGGGCATCTTCCTGCTGCTTTTGGAAAAATCCTCACTCCTTGCATTATTTTCCTTGCATTAGGCCTAACTTTTTCCCTCCGAATTCCCAGCCCACCAGTTTCTCACTGATAGACTGAGGTACTGCTGTGGCCAGAGCATTGGTCTGTGAGGTGGGAAATCCGGCCTTAAATATCTACGTTGGGTGGTCTTGGTGAGTCTCTTTCCCCTTCAGCCCCTTTTACTTCACGGGGTGATTGTCAGTGCTAAAGTTCTAGTCCAAATTCCATGGAGGATGGATGTATACTAAATGCAAATAAATACAGTACATAGCCTTAATTCTTTTACATCCACCGAAACCAGGGCATGCCACATGGTGCCTGCAGAATGTCCCTTGGTGCACAGCAGGTTTCCTGCACCATTTAACTTTTTAAAAAGATTCTCCTAATTTAAAACATGAAGTGGAAAACGGATACATGGTGAGGCAATATGCCAACCAATTGCCTCATATTTATTTCAAAAATGCCTCTGGATCCAAGACTGGCTCCATAGGCTTTCTTAGAAAACAAAGGTTAGGGAGGCTGCAATGCAGGACTTATATGAGTGTGGCGACTCTGTCAAACCATATTTGGGAGCTATTTTTTAAGCCGGCAAATCATTTTGTCCATGACAGCTATCATATGACAGCACTGCAACACGTTCTCAGAATTCAGAATGTCCTCACCAGCCTACCTTCAAACTCTTAGGCTCCTGTGACTTTGAAGTCACCCTGGGCTCTAGAGCCCAAAGTGACCAAAGCACACGGGTCAAAAGGGCTGCCCGGAACAGCTATTTCTGTCCATTCAGGTGGGCTCTTCTGCTCAAAGGGCTGCCTCCCCCCCGTCTTCTTCTGTCCCCGCCTACCTGTTTGAAGCAGCTTTGCGACCACAGGGAAGTTGGAATGCGAGACAGTGTAATGCAGGGCCGTGTTGCCGTTGGCATCCGCCACATTGATGATGAATTCTAGCAACTGCGGGGAAACCGCCTGGAAAGCCGTCAAGTGTAGCGAGATCAGCTCTGGGTCGGCTTCTTTGTGGCAGGAAAGCTTGAGCCAATAGTGGAGCATTGAGGTATAAGCTAATTTCTGCCGTGGGACAAATAAGAAAAAGGAATAACAGAAGAGGCAGGTAAGCCATGGTTAGGGCCTACTTTTGCTTGCTGAATGCTCTGTGCCTTTTCAGTATTTCTGTTGCTCATTATTTTCCTCTGGCAAACATGCAGGGTATCAGCAGAGGCTATTTTATTTGTTAATTTCTCTCTATCACCTCAGCTTTAGAAATATATGCATACCGTCTCTTCATCCATATGTGGGTTGCCATTTTCTAGGTATTTCTGAAGAACTGCACAGGCTGAAAGCAACTCTTTGCTGAGACCCAATCTGGTTATCAAAAGAAAGCAAAAAGGGGGGGAAAATTAGCTCCTGCCTGCATTTACATGTATTACTAATGCTAGTATTTACCATTATGTGCAGAAAACAGCTCATGTACTCTTCCCACTTTCCCTTTTGGATGGCTACAAGGAAGAGTTAAGCAGGATTCACTTTCACTTCCCATGATTCTGGCTTGTTTTTTAAGTTTGAACAAGATCCTGTACAAACTATGTTTACCTTAAAACTATCCAGCATACCAGTTCAAAGTTTGTGGTCAGCTTGTTTAGTAATTCACTGGAAAGTTTGCTGTAAATCTTTTGTTCATATATTACACAATTTAGATAAAGTGAAAGAAGGAGGAAGAAGAGGGAATATGTGAGCCAAGTTTTTGTTCAAGATTACACAGAGCAATAATCCTAAATCCTGGTTTAGGATTACATGTGAGCCAGATTACTAGGAAGCACCTCTTAGAGGGAAAAGTGGTACACAGAGACAGAATTTACAGTGAATTGTTCTGTTTTGTGCTAGTTCAGGATTACAATTAAATGGCAGTTGTACAACAACTGTTGGCACCTTTAAAATACAACACACGGAGAGAATTATTTTACCCAAGAAATAAAGAATTCTGAAACTATTTTCAGGGCTGGACACTGTGTAAAGCAGGGAAGGGCCATTTGTGACCCTCACATATCCTGCTGCTGAATGTTGGCAACAATAATTATCAAATAGTAGCAGGACAATTTTTTATTTTTTGGAGTTTGGGGTCAGCAGAGTACTGTATGAAGATAGCTGCAGGTCAGCTTCAAATTGCTTTCAAAGAGTTGGGGAGTGGCACCAGTGGCCATGTATAAGTGCCTGCAGAGCACAATACAGAGCCTTGAGCTCTGAAGATGTCCAAGCTAATGGTTACCCAGTTTTGCCTGCTGGTTCCTTGCTGGGACCTTCTGCTGTAGTTATTTTCCCCATCTCGACAGGGTCTCCAGGATGTGGGGTGTCTGTGGTTATTCCAGAAAGCTTCGAGGCTTCAGCTACAACTCCCTGCCCAGCAGGGAGGCCCTCACTCGCCTCATGGTATTCACTCTCAGTACTTTCATTGTCTGAGACGTTCTCAGCTGTGCTGGAGTCCTCAGAAGAGGTGGACTCATACCTGGAACGATACAGGGCTGAGAAACAGGCCAAAAGATGCTTGAGAAGCTATCCCAGATTCTCCCCAGAGCAGGCAGAGACTAGGGGAACCCTGGCTGTGAGCCACCACAGCACTTCAGAATGGAGAACTTTAGAGATGCCAGGTGATTTGGGATCTCACAGGCCACATTGGGACAATGAAGGTCCCTATTGGTACAAACAGCAGCTTACAAGGAAAGCAGCAAGCGTAAGTAAAGCTCCCTCCCAGTGATGGATTATGATAGGACTCTTGTACAAACTCTGACAAAACTGTTCAGGTGTTGGATTTCTTTGAGGTGAGGATGGGATATTGCTTCTCTGAACTCCAGATTAAAGGTAAGGAAACAAACAAGATGGGAAAGCTGTTTCTGCTGCTAAAAACCCGTATGCCATGCTTCCTCAACTGGGGAATTGAGGAATGAACTGGGAACTTCCTGTTCTGTTTATAATTCTGGAACTGAGATTTACCCTCCATTGACACCCACAAACTGGAGGCTTTTCTTGCTAGTCAGAATTTCCGTAGGTTCTTCCTTCTTCTTCATAATTGACCGGATCCCTGCAATGGATGAAGCTATAGAAAAACAGAGGGAGGTGGCAGTATCAGCTTGTCAGAGGATTCCATGGCACCTCTCTCCATCCCACTTTCTTACCTTGATCCTCTCCCTCCTTCTGCGCATCCAGTTTAGGTTCTTGAGAGAGGCATGGAACCACCTGTTCTGCCTGAAGGGAGTCAAGAACTGAATATTCAATTTTCTCCAGTGGTTCTTTGGGCTCTGAAAGAGGAGAGAGGCAACAGGATTATTGCACTCTAGAGGTCTTTTTGTTTATGAGAAATCAATATTACTGCTTTGTGGGCGCATACTAAGGAATGCAATAGAATACATAGCTCGATTACAAAATGACCAAGTGCCATACAGTAATATATAATATTCCAAGTCTGGAAAACAGGGAACAATGTATATAGACACTTTTGTTTATGCACAAGCAATATTCACTCACTGTATGAAGCCATGATTTTTCTAACCAATATTTGTTGACTAACCCACAATGGCTGAATGCACACATAGCACTAAGCCATAAATCATGGTTTACATGCCAGAGCAGCACATAGTTCTCATAACATGCCCAAAGCAAACAACTATGTTGTGGCTTAGCACAGGTGAATCAGGCCATGATTTAATTTGTAGATAAATGGGAGGGTAAATGAACCAAATTGAACCTTGAAGAGCACTCAGAAGCTGCAGCTGGTCCAGAATGCAGCTGTGCAGGCAGCTTTTAACATTTCTCATTACATTCATATAACATGGCTGCACAGGCCCCAAGTAGGCTTTTGAGTGCAATTCAGGTTGCTGGTTATTACCTATAAACCTCTATGTGGCATAGGACCAGGTTATTTGTGGGACCACCTCTCTTCCATTGTCTCATCTCAGCCCACCAGATCTAGCAGAGGGGGCATGCTCCAAGTGCCTTCTATTAAACAACACCATCTTGTTGGACCTCAGAGTTGTGCTTTCTCCGTGCAATGCTTACCCAATACCACAGCATTCCTCTGGAGATCTGGGGGGTCCTGACCCTGCTAGCCTTTCGTAAGGTGCTGAAGACCTGGCTGTTTCCCCAGGCATTTGGGTCAGGAGGTTAGGTGATCTCTGCTGCTGTTGATGTGTTTTTTGTGACTGGGGTTATTGTTTTGTCCTTGGGCACTGGGGATTGTATGTTGTGGTTCAGATTTTAATTCTTGTGCACCATCCACAGTCATTGTTGTGAGATGGGTGGCCATTTAATCATATAAATAAATCAGTTTTTAAAAAAACAATACATAGTATGTACAGCTACATAAGACTGCCTTCTTTCTTGATAACTTATAATGCAGAACAAAACTCAAAATAAACTCACAATTCATCATAAGAGTATGTAGGAAAAATAAAGACATATTGGTATTGAAAGAAATAGCATAAGACAAAAGTATTGTGAATTCTGTGAATAAGCACTACAGTAGTATGGAAAAAAGAATAAAAGAAACTTGGAGTCAAGTATCTTTCAGGCTATGTCCAGCATGTAGGCTATCTTGGCTCCTCTGTGAAGATCGCTTCTTCATCTAGCTTCCTGAAGACCATCCTTTGTGATTAAAATGGAACTTACACCTCCAGTTGCGCAGATACTCACTCACTGTTAGGGTATCTAACATAATCTCCATACTTTTGGGGCTGGTAGCATATTTGGAGTTCTGTGAATAATAACATCTGCATTCTTACCATAGCTGCTGAGGAGCTTACACAATCACATAATGGGAACAGCAGAATCATGCTGCTTAACATCCCATCCAAACCCCTTCCTCCATGGGATACTCCCTGCTATTGTCTTTTTTTCAAGACCGTTGGTGCATTTCCAAAGCAAACCTTGGGCTGCAGTCCCAAGAAAGCTTATAGAGCCCATTAGGGGCCAAGTATTGAAAATCAAGGCAGTGCAGGAGGCTGGAATTTTGCTTAACAACAAAACAGTCCCACCCCACCCTTATATATA